GCCCCTGTGTCCTTGCCCAAACTCAAACCACACCCAAAACCTATAAAAAGTACCAGGGGGATCTTATGGGGCCCCTTACTGACCCCGGGCCCTCAGGTAGTGCCTAAGTGTTCGAATGATAAGTCCGCCCCTGGTTAGGAGGGCCCTGATTCTGGGAGCTTACAATCTAAGAGGGAGGGGCTGTAGGTAAAAAGGTAATAACCGTGGGGGATGGGCTGGTAGGAGGAATAGAAGATTCCAGTATTAGCTGAGGGTGGGATAGGCTTCCCTGAGGAGAGAGGTTCTCAGAGATCACCTAAGGCCCCATGTACACAGCACACTTCTGAACGATGGAAATTGACAGCAGGAAAACGTAGATTAAAAAAATGTTCGTTTTTCCGCGTTTGTATATCGTGTTTAGAAGCGTTTTTTAAAGATAAGCACAGGGAAACCTCCCAAATGCACTGAAAAGTGGTAAATTATTGACTGTTTCAGAGAAATACAGAGAGTAGAAGCAGAGACAAAAGTATGTGTTGAGACTAGCTTAGGTGTGAGTTGACCATTAACATTTCTTTTGTTTCCAAGGGTGGGAAGGTGTCTGGTGGAGGGAGTCATTAAGGTCACCTGGCAGGGGGTCTTCATGAGGAATTTGAGGTGTGAATGGTCATTAACATATCTTTTGTTTCCAAGGGTGGGAGAGGTCTGAGGTGTTTATTGGTCATTACAATGTGTGACAAGCTTGGTAGGAACATCCTGTGTTCAGTGTTTTGTCCATCTGAGCACCTTGATAACTCTTTCCATGCATTTTTCATGACGGAAAAAGGTTATGGACAGCATTGGGAACAGGAAGAGTTGAAAAAAAAAAGTTTCAAACGCTTATAAACGCGATTTGACGCGTTTCACCACGGTTTGCATTTGAAACACTGATAGAATCAACGTCTGAACACAAGTTTGTTGCATTAAAAAAAAAACGATGTGTACATGGACACATAGGAAAATATTAGGGAGAGTTCAGGGGCTGCTGAAAAAAACACTGAACAGCTACTAAATGTGAGTTTATCTGCTGCCGCAGTGTACATGGAGCCCTAAAAGTGGGCAGAGTAATGCAGGCCATAGACGGGTCGAAAACCGGCCATTTTTTAAAAACAAAAAATCGGTCATTCAACAGGCCGATGTTACCACCAACGGTAAAAAGAAAAAAAAAAAAAAACCGGCCGATTTTTGTCCCGTCTACAGCCGGCATTTAATTACGTTCTGTCCCTTGCAGAGAGCTCCGCTATTATATTTGACATGAAAAAGTATTGCGGTTGCAGCAATGTATCCATTTCGGATACAGATGTTTTTATTCAGATACAAATAGATACATTGTTGCAACCGCAAGACTTTTTCATGTCAAATATAATAGCGGACTGGATTTCATTTTTCTTCTTGCAGGTCTCGGCTCATGCGCAGATTTTTTATTGGTAAAACTATCGGCCAATTTGCCCATCATTGTCGGCAAAATCGGCCAATTTTTTTTCCAACTTTACCGATAAAAAAAAAAGTGCCAAAACCCCCGAAAAATGGCTGACCAATTAACCCACTAACGGTGTGAAAATCTGCCAATTTTTTTTTTTTTTTCCGCCAAAAAATCGGCCGATTTTCGACCCATCTATGGCCTGTATAGGTGACAGTCTGATATATTGGGGTAGAGAGTTCCAGAGGATGAGGGAGGCTCTGGAGAGGAGCATAGGAGGAGGAGACAAGGGAGCTAGAGAGCAGGAGGTTGTGGGAGGAGCGGAGAGTACGGTTTGGGTGATATTTGGAGACAAGATTGGTGATGTAATTTGGGGCGGAGTTATAAATAGTTTTATATGTTGTTAATGTTTTGAATTTTATCCGTTGGGCAATGGGAAGCCAGTGGAGGGATTGGCAGAGAGGGGTGGAGGCCAGGGGAGGGATTGGCAGACAGGGGTGGAGGCCAGTGGAGGGATTGGCAGAGAGGGATGGGAGATACGAAATGGTTAGTAAGGTGGATGAGTCTGGCAGCAGCATTCATGATAGACTGAAGAGGGGATAGCCTGCGATGAGGTCGGCCAATGAGGAGGGAGTTACAATAATCAAGACGAGAGATAACCAGGGAGGGAATAAGTTGCTTAGTGGTTTCCGAGGTTAGGAACGGGCGTATCTTGGAGATGTTGCAGAGGTGAAGTCTACAAGATTTGGACAGTGATTGGATTTGGGTCTGAAAGGACAGATGGGAGTCTAGGATTACACCTAGTACCCTGGCATGAGGGGAGGGACTGATGATTGTGTTATTGATCTTGATGGAGAAGTCAGGGGAGGGGGCACGGGCTGGGGGGAATACTAAGGCTACGTTCACACTAGCGTTGTGTGCAGGCGGCAGAGAGGCGTTTGGGAAGCATTTTTACGGCTTCCCAAATGCCTTGGACAATTTTACACATTGCAGCACATGGTGCTGTTCTAACGGGAGCATCAGCGTCGCGGGAAAACGGACGCCTCTGGTCGAGTCAGGAGGTGTTGAAGCCTCCTATTCTAGTCTATCGTGCCGCTCCGTTTGCGGCGTGGTTGTGGAGCGGTAACATCATTTAAACTTCATTATAGGCGTTTGTGGGGCGTTTTTAATGCTCGTCAAATGCCTAGCAACCGCCGCTAAACTGCACATGCGGCGTTTGCCATGCGTTAAACGCTCTGCAAACGCCGGACCAACGCTTGTATAGCGTTTGGCAAGCATTGGTAAAACAGTCAGGTGTGAAACAATTGCATCAATCTTGTTTTGAAATGATTTTGTAAGCAGTGAGTGAGGTACTGGGTGGAGGTGGAGAAAGTAGAAAGTTAAAAGTAGAGAAGAGACGAGGACTGGATGACAAGCTATTGATGAGAGTGACAAAGTAGACTTGTTTGGCAGCATGAAGGGAGGAATTGTATGTTAAGAAAGCAGATTTATACAGGGTGAAAAAGTTTGCTGGGATTTGGTTTTACGCACAATCGCTCCAGCGCACGACTATGTAGTTTAAGATTTCTGGTGCCGTCAGCGCTATCACACTTTGAATGACAATTGCATGGTCATGCAACACTGTAGCCATATGACATTTTTTTTCTTTTTTTTTTTTTTTTTTTTTTTTTTTTAGACAGAGCTTTCTTTTGGTAGTATTTAATCACATCTGGGTTTTTTGTTTTTTGCTAAACATACCAAAAACAACTGAAAAAAAAAGTTTTAGTTTTTGTTATAAAATTTTGTAAAGTGATATTTCTCCTTCACTGATGTGCGCTAATGATGTAAATTTATAGGGAGATGGTCAATCATTGTTGCATATCAGTGCTGCCTACCAGTAACCATCAGACCTGCCTCATCAACACACATAAGGGAAGGAGAAAAATTACCCGTTTGCAAAATTTTATAATAGAAACAAAGAAAAACCTTTTTAACCACCTGCCCACAGGGCACTTATAACCCCTTCCTGCCCACAGGGCAATTTACAGCTTTCAGTGCTATCACATTTTGAATGACAATTGCACGGTCATGCAACACTGTAGCCATATGAAATTTTTAGCATTTTTTTTTTAGACAGATAGAGCTTTCTTTTGATAGTATTTAACCACATCTGGGTTTTTTATTTTTTGCTAAACATACCAAAAACTGAAAAAAAAAAAGTTTTAGTTTTTTTTTATAAAATTTTGTAAAGTGATTTTTCTCCTTCACTGATGTGCGCTAATGAGGTTGCAGTAATGGACACTGATAGGTGGCACTGAAAGGCAGCTCAGATGGGCACTGGTATGTGGCATTGATGTGCACTGACATGTGGTACTGGCAGGTGGCACTGATAGGGCTGCTCTGATGATCAGTGCACATGTCCCCTCTGAGGAATGCCGATTACCGGCTCTCCTCTGTCAGTGTGACAGCTCGTGAGGAGAGAAATGCTGATAACCGACATTTCCTTATTTACATGCGATCAGCTGTGATTGGATACAGCTGATCACATGACTGAGCCGACGTCTTCGGCTCTTTCCATTGATCAGTGATCCGCTGTGTCCGAGTATCACTGACAGGGGAGAGGTCTGTATGTAAACAAAACAGATCTCTTCTCTGTCAGCTCCAGTGCACTGCTTTGTATTGCTCTACATAGCAGAGCAATACAAAGCAATGTGCTTACAGACACACAAGACAGTAACAGACATACAAAATAGTAAAACAGCACACAGTTAACCCTTTGATTGCTCCAGATATTAACCCCTTCCTGCCCAATGTCATTAGTACAGTGTCAGTGCTCTTTATTAGCACTGATCACTGTATTGGTGTCACTGGGGATGTCAGTGGCGGTTAGTCAGTCCCCCCCCCCCCCCGTGTGAGAATGCCTGCTGCAGTCCCACTATAAGTGACTGATCGCTTCCATTACTAGTATTAGAGAAAAAAAAAAAAAAATTCCAGTATATATGCTGCCATAACTTTCACATATATTGTGATTTTATTTTTTTCTAGCAAAGACATACCAGAATATCCATAGCAGAATACATTTTGGCCTAAGTTTATGACGAAAATTTGATTTAAATTTTTTTTACTTTAATAGCAAAAAGTCAAAAATAATTTTTTTCCCTCATAATTGTCAGTATTTTTTTGTTTATAGCATAAAGAAAAAAAAAAAAAAAAAAACTGCACAGGCAATCAATTATCACCGAAAGAAAGCTCCATTTGTGAGGGGAAAAAAAACAGCCCATTTGGGTGCAGTATTGCATGACCGCGCAACTGTCAGTTAAAGTAATGCAGCGTCATATCACAAAAAATGGCCTGGTCAGGAAGGGGGGGTAAATCCTCTGGAGGGCAAGTGGTTAAAGCTACAGGCGGCCAAGAAACTAGTATTTTCAGACACTGCAGTGTAAATATTTATCAGTACTGGTTTCCTTCAAGATTTTATTGTAAAAAAATAAATCCCAACTGAGAAAAGAAAAAATAATCTTTTATGTACACAGGGAAGATGGCAAGAATAGTAAAACCATTAACACTTTTTTGTATCTATCCAGAATTAATCTAGAAATACTTGTCCTAAGACTGAGAGTTTGGAGGTGAACGGTTGGCTGGGGCAGCGGAGGAGGGATCTGCGTCTGGTTTTCGTTGTGTTTTGTGAGCTGGTAGAATAAAAGCCCTTATAATTCTGATCCTTGGAGGCTTTTCTGATAGTTTCTGTCCTCTTCTTCCCAGAGAAGAATTCCTTCACCAGGTCTTCCATCTCCCACTTTTCTGCATTGTCCCTCTTACAGCAGTGCAGTGCTGCTGGATCTATGGGGTGAGCTTCAGTATTAAACACATAGCCTCCGGCCCCCACCACACATTCCCCATAGGGAGTCACAACCAAGTCAAAGTCAGAGCCATCGTTGTGAATAAAGTTATCGGGATCAAACAGAAGGTAGAGGTATTTCACAGTCTCTGCTAGGAAGAAAGACTCCATGCGGTTGTCCAGCTTGTGATCTCGGACATCTTTAACCTACAAGAAAAATACATTACAAACTCTTTAAAAGTAGATCTGTAGGCAAAATAAAAACAAAATGGCATATTGGCAGTCTGTCACTGGCACTAACCCCCGGTTCACATATATGCAGCCATGCGAGCCACGTTCTGCACAGGCACGAGAGCCCATTCATTTGAATGGACTACTGTGCCACACAGGGAAGAAGTCCCTGCACGTCTTTGGAAAACACAATCCACACGGGAACCTCGGCTTCCAGTACGTTTGCGTTTTCCAGTGCAGGCGGTGTGCCATTAGAACTAATGACACCCGCTCATGGGTCCGCATTTCTCTGTGCGGGTGGTGCGTCTTCACAGATTTTCGTGCGGATCTGCAGCGGCACCACCCGCAAGAATGTGAACTTAGGGTAAAGGCTTAGTCCACCTTGTGACTATGGGGGAGATTTACTAAAACTGGAGAGTACACAATTTGGTGCCACTCTGCATAGAAACCAATCAGCTTTTATTGTCAAAGCTTGATTGAGCAAACTGAAGCTAGAAGCGGATTGGCTACCATGGACAGCTGCACCAGATTCTGAGTGCCCCAGTCTTAGTAAATCAACCCCAATGTTTATTTATTTCAGGTACTTATATAGCTTCGTATATTTTTGCAACACACACACACACACGCACGCACGCACGCACGCGTGTTTGGGCACCCCAGCTAAAAATTTGTATTGTGCATAAAGAAGCCAAGGAGAGATGGAAAAATCTCCAAAAAGGCATCAAATTACAGATTAGACATTCTAATAATATGTCAACAAAAGTTAGATTTTATTTCCATCATTTACACTTTCAAAATAACAGAAAACAAAAAAAATGGCGTCTGCAAAAGTTTGGGCACCCTGCAGAATTTATGGCATGCACTGCCCCCTTTGCAAAGCTGAGACCTGCCAGTGTCATGGATTGTTCTCAATCATCGTCTGGGAAGACCAGGTGATGTCAATCTCAAAGGTTTTAAATGCCCAGACTCATCTGACCTTGCCCCAGCAATCAGCACCATGGGTTCTTCTAAGCAGTTGTCTAGAAAACTGAAACTGAAAATAGTTGACGCTCACAAAGCTGGAGAAGGCTATAAGAAGATAGCAAAGTGTTTTCAGATGTCAATATCCTCTGTTCGGAATGTAATTAGAAATGGCAGTCATCAGGAACAGTGGAAGTTAAAGCAAGATCTGGAAGACCAAGAAAAATATCAGACAGAACAGCTCGCAGGATTGTGAGAAAAACAATTCAAAACCCACGTTTGACTGCACGATCCCTCCAGAAAGATCTGGCAGACACTGGAGTTGTGGTACACTATTCCACTATAAAGAGATACTTGTACAAATATGGTCTTCATGGAAGAGTCATCAGAAGAAAACCTCTTCTACGTCCTCACCACAAAAATCATCATTTGAACTTTCCAAAATGCATCAGGCTTGTCTATATGTTCATTTGCAAACAAGTTCTGTGGACCGATGAGGTTAAAATTGAACTTTTTGGCCGGAATGAGCAAAGGTACGTTTGGAGAAGAAGGGGCACAGAATTTAATGAAAAGAACCTCTGTCCAACATGGGGTTGGATCAATCATGCTTTGGGGTTGTGTTGCAGCCAGTGGCACAGGGAACATCTCACGAGTAGAAGGAAAAATGGATTCAATAAAATTTCAGCAAATTTTGGATGGTAACTTGATGCCGTCTGTGAAAAAGCTGAAGTTAAAGAGAGGATGGCTTCTACAAATGGATAATGATCCTAAACACACCTCGAAATCCATGGGGGATTACATCAAGAGGCGTAAACTGAAGGTTTTGCCATGGCCTTCACAATCTCCTGACCTCAACATAATTGAAAATCTATGGATAGACCTTAAAAGAGCAGTGCGTGACAGACAGCCCAGAAATCTCAAAGAACTGAAAGACTTTTGTAAGGAAGAATGGGCAAAGATACCTCAAACAAGAATTGAAAGACTCTTGGCTGGCTACAAAAAGCGTTTACAAGCTGTGATACTTGCCAAAGGGGGCAGTACAAGATATTAACTCTGCAGGGTGCCGTAACTTTTGCAGACGCCATTTTTTTGTTTTCTGTTATTTTGAAAGTGTAAATGATGGAAATAAAATCTAACTTTTGTTGACATATTATAAGAATGTCTAACCTGTAATTTGATGTCTTTTGGAGATTTTTCCATCTTTCCTTGGCTTCTTTATGCACATTAATACAAATTTTTAGCTGGGGTGCCCAAACTTTCGATCCCCACTATATATATATAGTGTGTATGTAAAGCACTGCGTAAATTGACGGTGCTATACAAGTACCTGTGATAAAAATAAAGTGAACAGAAATTTGCTTTTCACATGATTGGATAGGTAAAGTGAATATTAGTGAGTGAAGGGTCACAACTCTGTTAACAAGTAAGTCCCACATTGTCAGGTATGTTGCTTAGGACCTGCCTGCCAGAACTGACATTCTTATTCCTGGACGACTAGCAAGCAAGCGATGCCCTTCATCATCATAATATCCTATATTGGCTGCATTATATATACACAATATATATATAATTTTGTCATAAATTAGGCCAAAATGTATTCTGCTATATGTCTTTGCTAAAAAAAAAAAAAAAATCAAAATGCATGTAAATTGGTTTACATAAAAGTTATAACATTTACAAATGGGGGTATATATACTGGAATTAAAAAAAAAAAAAAAAATTATACTAGTAAAAGGCAGCATAGCAGGACTGCAGCAGGCATTCTGACACTGGGGGGGGAGGGACTGACTAAGGGCTCGTTCACACTAGGCTGTTTTGCCAACGCTTGCCAAACGCCCCTATAGCGTTTGGCAAGCGTTGGTCCGGTGTTTGCGGAGCGTTTTTAACGCTCGGCAAACGCTCCGCAAACGCCGCATGTGCGGTTTAGCGGCGGTTGCTAGGCGTTTGCCGAGCGTTAATAACGCCCCACAAACGCCTATAATGCATTTGAGTGGTGTTACCGCTCCGCAAATGCCCCGCAACCGCGTCGCAACCGCGTCGCAACCGCACCGCAAATGCCGGCCGGGGCGTTTGCGGAGCGGCACCATAGACGAGAATAGGAGGCTTCAAAGCCTCCTGACTCGACCAGAGGCGTCCGTTTTGCCGCGACGCAACGCAAACGCTCCTGTTAGAACAGCACCATGTGCTGTAATGTGCAGAATTGGCAGAGGCGTTTGGGAAGCGGTAAAAACGCTTCCCAAACGCCTCTCTGCCGCCTGCACACAAGGCTAGTGTGAACGTAGCCTAATTGATCAGTCACTGTACAGCCCGCCTCCCTTTTTTTTTTCTCTATGAATGGAGGAGAGAGATACATGGTATCGCTCTCTCTCTCTCCTTTCATAGAGGGAAAAAAACTGTTAAAAAAAAAAAGAAAATGCCATGATCAAAGTTTTGATCTAGTTCAGGGCCGGGGTTAGTGTTTGGGTCAAGGTCAGGGTCAGGGTCAAAAAGGTCAAGGTCAAAAGATCAGGATTTTTTTTTTTTTTTTTTAAATTGGTATCAGTGTGTTTTAGGTAAAAACAACAAAAAAAACAAAATGCACTATTGTTTCTGGGCTGTACTGTGGGTACAAATAACACACATATATGGTATTGCTGTGATCGTCAAGAGCTTAAAAATGTATTTTGTGTTGTTCTTTGTTGATTGTTATGTTCGTAACAAACGCAGCTGAATTTTAAAAAATGATTTTTTTTTTTTACTATTTTGGCAGAGTTTTCCTTTGATAATAATAAATAGTAATAATAATAAAAAAAAATATCAGGAGATAGCCATTACCATTTACCACCAAATGAAATCCTAATTTGTCCTGAAATAAACGCGGGTATAATCCACCTGGATGCACAAAGTAGTTGTGATGATATGAACGGTTTTAATAACCCATCAAAGTTGCAAAATTGTGCTTAGGCATTAAGATTTGTTTTACCCTTAGGCGTTAGGGGTTGAACTCTGTTCAATCAATCTTGTAATTCATACAACTCTGCCAGACTGTATGTCCACTGCAACAATGACTGAAAATGTGTTCACTGGACTTTCCCTTTAACAAGGATCTGACAATTTAGGAATGAAAAACTCTTTGTTCTTTTATAGGGATTACGATCTCCAGAAATGAACATGGAAATGCAGAGCAGAAGGGGTCAGGGATTGGATGGGGGGGGAGGGATGAAATGATAAATGTTTTGATAAGCTAAAGGTTTTTAAGGAGTATGTTTGTAAAAATTAATAAATATTTAAAATTTAAAAAAAAAAAAAAAAAAAAAAAAAAAAAAAACTCTTCTACAGAGACATCTCTCTGCAGGAGAACTTACTGAAGCATATCCACAGTCAACTTTGCTGATCTTCTCAATAGATTCTACAGCATCCCTGCCCATCTCTAGTAGTACAGGGTCCTTTGTAGCTCTGTACAGATACATTGCGCTCTCGATCAGCTCTGCAAGATACAAACAAGTACTCTAGGTCAGCATCACACCTTTCTGTATTGACTTTACAACAATGCCGAGGAATACCTGCCGCAGAGGGTAGCCTTCCCTTTTGTCCACAGTAAATCCTTGAGGAATGTTGTAGAATTCAGGTAATCCACCAAACTGCTTCCATACTGTGTAATAGTTGTGGAATGTCTTCATGGCATTTCCAATATCTCCTATCAGACTCTGGAGAGCAAAATGAACACACGGTTTAATTTAAATGATCCCCTTCTGTATATAGATGATGGCAGTGTAATTATTTCTATTTTTATTTAAGCCTTGCCTGGCAGTACAGGGTCGCTGGTTCGAATCTCAACCACGGCACCACCTGCATGGAGTTTGCATGTTCTCCCTGTGCCTGTGGGGTTTCCTCCGGGTACTCCGGTTTCCTCCCACACTCTAAAGACATGCTGGTAGGTGAACTGGCCCCTGTCTAAATTGGCCCTAGTATGTATGAATGTAAGTTAGGGACCTTAGATTGTACACCCCTTGAGGGTTAGGGACTGATGTGAATGTACAATATATATGTAAAGCGCTGTGTAAAGTGACGGCAGTATACAAGTACCTGAAATAAACCCCTTGCCCTCCAGGAGGATTTACCCCACCCTTTCCTGACCAGGCCATTTTTTGCAATACAGCTCTGCATTACCTTAACTGACAATTGCACGGTCATGCAATGCTGCACATAAATTAAATTTATGTCCTTCCCCCCCCCCCCCCCCCCCCCCCACAAATAGAGCTTTCTTTCGGTGGTATTTGATCACCTCAGCGGTTCTTATTTTTTTGCACTATAAACAAAAAAAAGACTGACAATTTTGAAAAAAAAAAAAATTATATATATATATATATATATATATATATATATATATATAAATTTTTTTTACTTCTTGCTATAAAACATATCCAGTAAATTTTTAAAAATCAAATTGTCATAAATTTTGCCAAAATGTATTCTGCTACATGTCTTTGCTAAAATAAAAAAATAAAAAATCCCAATACGTGTAAATTAATTGGTTTACGTGAAAGTTATAGAATCTACAAATGAAGGTATATATACTGGGATTTTTGTTTTTTTTTATACTAGTAGTGGTGGCGATCAACAACTTATAGCGGGACTACAGCAGGCATTCTGACACTGGGTGAGAACGGACTAACTGACATCCCAGTGACACCAATACAGTGATCAGTGCGAATAAAAAAAGCACTGACACTGTACTAATGACACTGGGCAGGAAGGGGTTAACATCTGGGCTGATCAAAGGGTTAATTGTGTGCCGTTACAGATATATTTGTATGATTATTAAAAGTCAGCAGCTACAGCTTTTGTAGCTGCAGAGTTTTAATAAAAACACAAAAACAGCTGGAACTCTGCTTTAGATGAGCCTATATTTCTCTAGCACTTTTCTCTATGGGGACTCAAAGTGCTTTATCTGCTATTTGGGTAGAAAATGAGGCAGCAATCTTGGGGTGCTCAGTAAGATGTCACATTAGGGCCAGTTTTAGACAGGAGCCAATTAACCTACCAGCATGTCTTGAGGAAACCCATACAAACCCCATGCAGACAGTGTCCTGACCAGGATTCAAACCGAGAACCCCCTGTGCCCCAAAAGGCAGAAGTGCTAATCCCTGAACCACTGTGCTCTATTATGGGGTAGATGTATTACCTGTAATCCTGGCCAAAACGCCTCCAGGGACTGAAATATTGGCATGGACACTGTGCCCTTGTACATCTGTACCCACACATACCAGTCATCATACTTGGTGTAGTTCTGGATAGCCGTATTGTATTCTAAATCAGATGCAAACACATTTTAAAAAAATTGTATAAAAAAACGAAAAAAAAAAAAAAAAAAAAAAACAACTTATTACAAATATCTGAGGCATAGGAATTACTTTTAAACTGTCCACAAGTGCCTTAAATGAGGCTTCCCAAGGGTTTGCCTTCTAGGTGTGGGGTGCTACCATTTGCCATTCACAGCAATAGCCAAATCTGATAGACATCGGCAGCACAGGAAGCCGACCAAAGCCCATATAGATTGGAGACAATAGAAATCATGCAAGACATGGCCATACTTTATACAATGTTCTTATTCAATTTCCTTAAAGTGTTGCTAAACCCAAAACAGTACAATCAGTCTGTATATGCAGTAAAGCATGCTTGTTATACTCATTGTGGAACCTAAGGGGTTAATCCTCTGCACTGTGTAAAAGCGCTCTTTGATCCGGTCTTCTCTGATCGTCCCCTTGTTCCAGCTTCCCCCTCTAATCTCCTATAAGTCATATTGTGTTGAGTCACTCTGCACATGCCGAGTTTGGTGTGTATTGCCAAAGAGGTTTTTTTTTATTTATTTTTTCTTGGAAGGGTGCATGCGATTAGCACAGGGCCAATCAGTGCTGTCCAGACAGAGGTTCTGCATCCTCCTAAAGCAGAAAGAAAACTCCTTCTACAAGCTTTAACCAGTGCTCGGCTGGACACTGATAGAAGTCACAAGACTGCTATATACTGCTGATGAGAAAGGTATTTAGCAGTTTATAGTTAGTACAATAATTGTATTTCCATGTTCTGTGTACTGTGGGGGACCAGATATAGTGAGTGCGGGGTCCGGGGAGAGCCGATATAGTGAGTGCGGGGTCCGGGGAGAGCCGATATAGTGAGTGCGGGGTCCGGGGAGAGCCGATATAGTGAGTGCGGGGTCCGGGGAGAGCCGATATAGTGAGTGCGGGGTCCGGGGAGAGCCGATATAGTGAGTGCGGGGTCCGGGGAGAGCCGATATAGTGAGTGCGGGGTCCGGGGAGAGCCGATATAGTGAGTGCGGGGTCCGGGGAGCCGATATAGTGAGTGCGGGGTCCGGGGAGAGCCGATATAGTGAGTGCGGGGTCCGGGGAGAGCCGATATAGTGAGTGCGGGGTCCGGGGAGAGCCGATATAGTGAGTGCGGGGTCCGGGGAGAGCCGATATAGTGAGTGCGGGGTCCGGGGAGAGCCGATATAGTGAGTGCGGGGTCCGGGGAGAGCCGATATAGTGAGTGCGGGGTCCGGGGAGAGCCGATATAGTGAGTGCGGGGTCCGGGGAGAGCCGATATAGTGAGTGCGGGGTCTGGGGAGAGCCGATATAGTGAATGCAGAGACACGGGTTTAGCAACACTTTAGGGCATTGTCACACTCATCTGCAGCAAAAATGCATACGCGTTTTTGCTGCAATGTTACTGTGTGTGTGTTTTCACAGAACATGGGATTTCAAAAACTGCATCTAAAACACTACACAGGTGCGTTTTTGCCATGTTTTTAATGCATTTCAATGGGGTGGTGTGTTTTTTAACTGTCCAAATATGCCCCAAAAATGCGGCAAGCAGGATATTTTTACACCACAATGGAAGCGCAACGGACCAGCCATACAGGGGAAACTTTTTTTCTTTAGCTTTTTTTTTTCTTCTTCATGCAACTGCTCAATGTGAAAGCAGGCGTAGATTTACCTTCAGCTTTGTACTGCAAGGGCCTACCCGATGGCATACAAATTGAAATGGTTTAGGTTTGACCTCACATTATTTTAGGTTTTGGTAAATCTAAAAGTAACATTGTACAAGAAAATTGTAGAATGTATGCCCAGCCTTACAGATTGAACATTTTCAGTATGAATGGTCTTGCAGGAAAGAGAAGCTTGGTACAGAGGACAAGGAAAATTTCAGGTCCCGCTCCCATTGGAATCCATGGGCTACAGGAGAGAGAAGGGACCCTTTTTTCTACTACGGTTTGGAAACATCAAATCGTTTCTCCTTCACTAATCCAGACCAGATCTCCCTACAGATTAGTATTTACCCAGGAACATGGACATCATTTCTTCATCTTGCAGAAGGATGGCTCCTTTAACCAGGTATTCAAAATACGAATCCACACCTGCTCCTATCCCAGCATCCTGGGCCACCCATTTTGAGGTCACGACGTCTATATGGTTCCCTACCTGTGAAGGGAATATTATATCAGAGCTGAGAAGCATAGATTGTGACGAATAACTAAAGATAAAACGTTTATATTACAGGAAGATGAGCGGATCAGACTGAGGACATTCCCTTACCAGTCCTATCTCAGAGCGACTTTCCCACAATCCTTTTAGAGCTCGCCTGGCCACCCTTTCAAACACCGGATCTCCGGTTAGGCGGCTCAACGTGGCAAACTCAATGATGTAGGTTCCAATACCCGCCGTACAGGTCACAGGAGTCTCTGTGGGGTTCACACCATTTAGGAGGTTCACCGTGCCATAAGGCATTCCAGTTAGTGTGTCAAAAGCTGAAAAACAATTACAAACAGTTGGATTTTATTTTTGATCTACACATATAAAACAGTAATGAATAAAAAGGAAACCTTAGGCTCAACTCACTACAAAGGATCTGCCTTATTCATGTAGACCAGGGGTGGGCAACTGTGGCCCTCCAGCTGTTGTAGAACTACAAGTCCCATGAGGCATTGCAAAACTGACAGTTACAAGCATGACTCCCAAAGGCAGAGGCATGATGGGACTTGTAGTTCAACAGCTGGAGGGCCACAGTTGCCCACCCGATGTAGACTATCATTTTCAGGTTTCATTGAAAATCGCAGTCACATGAACGTGAAGTGAGTGCAATGGCCATTATATTTATTTTAGGTACTTATATAGTGCAGTAAATTTACGCAGCGCTTTACATATACAGTGGGGATCGAAAATTTGGGCACCCCAGCTAAAAATTTGTATTAATGTGAATAAAGAAGGAAAGATGGAAAAATCTCCAAAAGGCATCAAATTACAGATTAGACATTCTTATAATATGTCCACAAAAGTTAGATTTTATTTCCATCATTTACACTTTCAAAATAACAGAAAACAAAAAAAATCACATCAGTCACTAACCCTCAAGGGGCGTACAATCTAAGGTCCCTAACTCACATTCATACATACACATACTAGGGACAATTTAGACCTAATCTAATTAACCTACCAGCATGCCTTTGGAATGTGGGAGGAAACTGGAGTACCTGGAGGAAACCCACGCAGCCACAGGGAGAACATGCAAACTCCAGACAGGTGGTGCCGTGGTTGGGATCTGAACCAACAACTCTAGTACTGTAATGGCAACTTTGGGAATTCCAGGAAACCTCCGAACACAAACTTTTTATTTACCAGCTGGTTGACCTAGCCAGCAGGGGCAGACTGACAACTCATGGGGCCCCCCGGGCAATAGGGGATCATGGGGCCCCTGTGTCCTCGCCCACACTCAAACCACACCCAAAAAAGCCTATGAAAAAGGTACCAGGGGCATCTCATGGGGCCCCTTACTGACCCCGGGCACTTAGGCAGTGCCCGAGTGCCCAAATGGTCAGTCTGCCCTTGCTAGCCAGACTCATGTCTGCGAAGTGCCTTGAAAAGCATCTTACATGGTGTATTTTATTATACAGGATTTATTATATATATTTATTATATATTATTATACAGGATTTATATATTATTATACAGGATTTATTTAGCGCCAACAGTTTGCTCAGCGCTTTATAATATAACGCGAGACAATACAGCAACAATACAAGAGGGTTAGGAGGGCCCTGATCCTGGAAACTTACAATCTAAGATATATCAACAATTATCTCACAATGCATATATTTCCGCTTTACTTTTTGTACCTTTAAAATACATTCTGACCAGTTCAGGATATAGCCTTTGCGGTTTCACATTTAGATAAAAGATCACCAACTAACAGTTGGGATGTCAGCTGCTAGACTGGAATACATTGTTCCACAGGAATTGAGGGGGAGGAAGTGAGCAGATGACCTGATTCTGCAAACGGATGCTTATAGAAATGTCAAATCTTAAAAAAGAAAAATGGGAACTCTGCAATATTTGGGCGCTGCCACAGTACTGCCAGGTGGAAGTGCTAACTATTTAGCCACTGTGCTCATCATAGAAAGTAATACTTGTTTTATAGCATTAAGGGTGTATTTATAGATAAACTTGCAGAGCCATTCCTCCTGTGCAACTGCATGTACATTTGTTCTGTATGAATGGAGGCAAAATTGAATGTTACTAGTCTATTTTCTCTCACGGTCGATTGTTATTCATTGAATAAAAATAGCAATTTGAGAAAATACCGCATTATGGCCGATAGATGGAGATGTTCATAGTAAATAAGTATGTAAAGTTCACCTTTTGAAAAAAAGTAATAAATACACACATTATACAGACACGGTCCACTCTTGTCACCATCACCAACCCGCTCTGAGAAATGCCCTCAAGCCATCAAAAGGTATTAGTTTTCAAAATGAAAATTGTTTAATACTTAGTGTGCACAACAAATTTAAAGCAGAACCCCAGCTAAAAATAGGTGGCTATGGGAACATGTTACATGTTCCACCCTAAAAATCGGGTGGAACATGTAACATATTCCCATAGGTGAATTTATCCTTTAATGCCATTAAGTAGGATTTACAACTACTCCAACCAAAACTGTGAACTGAAATTCTGCTGACCTGGCAAAAGTTTCCGGGCTGCATCTTCTGCCATACGTAACAATGGACCGCTACATGGCCAGCCAGTCTCAAGCTCAAGGCCGGCTCTCTTGGAGAGGAGGTGAGCGGACAGAAGACCCCCCACCCACTGCAAAAAAAAAAAAAAATATTAGTTACCGTAAAATTATCTGACCAACAAAAAAAATGCAATATAATAAACTATATATAATAAACTATATGAATGTATTTCCATTGAGCCTAATCCCTTCCCTCCCAGTCCCCTTTTTATGCCTGGGGGACAAAAGGACCGCTTGTTCACATGTCCAATGTGAATGGCTGTCATAGTGGTCACATGATCAAGAACATGTCCTGATGACTCCCGATCAGTACTACAGAACTTGGCGGTCCATGGACACATATGTTAAAGCTAACCCTCTGTCACTGCAAATATATGGTATGTGTGCAGCAAGAGCTTAATAATTGTTCATTAAAAATTATATTGTGTTGCATTGTTCCAATTGGTAACTTGTAGCAGATCCTCCAAACTCCTCTGTTACAGTTGCAAGAAAAAGTATGTGAACCCCTTGGGATTACGTGGAGTTTTGCATGAATTGGGCATAAAATGTGGTCTGAACGTCATCTAAGTCACAACAATAGAAGAACACAGTCTGCTGAACATAATACTACACAAACATTAGATGTTGCCATGGTTTAATTGCACATAACATGTAAACATTCACAGTGCAGATTGAGAGACTCAAACAGTTGATCAGTTTTCAGAATGTGACAGTGGGCATGGGGAGAAAAAAAACCCCACCCGCTGTCACACTGGGGAAGGGCGCTGAGGGAGAGGGGGGAAACTAGAACATGCAGCATGTTCTAAAAGGTGAACTTATCCTTGAAAGCCCAAATTAAGTCTTACACTTTTTTTTTAATCTCTTTGCAGACCCTATTAAAAAAAAAAAAAAAAAAAAACCCAAAAACAAAAAAAAACAGGACAGGACCCTAAAAAGACTGTGCTGCTTCCTATGCTCACACTGCAGTTGTCTGTGTCTGGCAGAGCTGAGTAACAGCTACCCCCCCCCCCCCCCCCCCCCGCATAAGTGTTTTCACAAAGATTTGCATCGCAGAGGAACATGTTATACTTAGCTGTTCTATGTAATGGTTTTGCACACAGCAGCCCCGATCCTCCTCATCTCAGGTCCCCCACCGGCACTCCTGGCTCCTCTCCCCGCTGAATGCCCCAACAGCAAGCTGCTTGCTATGGGGGTACTCGTGCATGCTTGCTCCCGACCCGACTGTGTGTCTGAGGAAGAGGAGGTGTCCTCGAAACGCATTAGCCAGTTGGTCATCCAGGGTTCCATCGCATGGACTCAGATGTTGTTTGGATCATACATCCTGTTCAGTTTGACATGCCTGTGTTATTATGTCCATTGTGAGATACCTATTTTTGTTTCTTTAATAAATTATTTTAAACGATAATGCACTAGGTCGGTGCGCCCTTTTTCTGTTTCTCCATTTGTATCTATAAGACACACAGAGCACGGCTTGGCCCCCCCCCCCGGCTCTCTTCTTACAAAAGCAGGAGCTAATGGCTGTCCCCAGCCAATGAGGAAGCGGAGACCTGGGAAAGCTTCTGCTCCCATGCACATGGCTGGATCGGGATCAGGCTCAGGTGAGTGTGGGAGAGGGGGTGGGCTGCTGAGGGGGGGAGCTGCACACTGAAGGTTTTCTTTTTAACCTACATGCATAGAATGTACGAAAAGTAAAAACCTTCAGCCTTTAGAACAACTTTAAGCTGGCCATACACTGGCCTAATTTCAATCAGTGTGTGGGCTCCTCCACTTAACAGAACTCAATTGCTTGATTCATTTCTGCATGTTGGACAATTTTCCGTCAGTCGGTGACTCCAGTGTCCTGGAGAACAGTGTATGGCCAGCTTAATTCTGGTGCCTACAGACCTCTTGCACAATGGCTGTAACCGGAAAGTAGAGGTAGACTATCCAATTGGTTGTTCGTGTAATGTCTGTATGACTATATATCTATTTCTGTGACCCCAGTTGGCCTTGGAAGAATTAAAAAAAAAAAATAAAATCCAAAAGCATACTGTACCTCTGTACCTGCAAAAATCAACCAATTTATCAGCACATATGCTGAGCAGAAAGGAGGACCTTGTTATTCGGCCATGTAGAATGTCGGGAAGTATGTTGAGACCCAGCTACAGCTCAGTGTACCGTGGCTGGGTACCAACCTATGTTACAGAGACCAGTGGGAAGGGTGGTCGGGAAGGTGGGGTGGCTATTGATTTTTCAGAAAACAAAAAGGGTCAGTTCATCCAAAACTGATGTCAGGCTTTGGCTGATATAGAAGTAGACCACTGTGCAGTTACATCTCAGGAAGTCTGAGATCTTTGTATTTGTCCTGCTCAGTCTGCAGACCTGCTGTGCCCATTATGAGGGGCTCCCACAACCTTTGATGGATTTTCGAATTGATTTTAGATTATGGAGAATACAACAGGAGGAGGAGCTGGAAAACAAAAAGGTTGGGGGGAGGGGGAACACCCCAAATTCTGTTAGGAAAATAATCAATAATTATTGCAGGGAGATCTCTTATTGGAGCACTCAAGACATGCAAGAAGGCCGACTCATCTTACCAGGCTTCGCCTTATTAGAAAACATCACATTTGGTTGGACTGACCCTTTAAAAGACACTTATACTTTAAATGAAGGACAAAAATGATGAAACTCCAAAGACAACCTCGGATGTTGGTCTCAAACACAGAAGCATTGACGTCAATGTCGAAGTCCACGGTGTCCTGGAGAACATTCACCACTCGCTGGAATTCTGAGATATTGCCAATAATCTGTCAATTCCAAAGCAAATTAGCGATCATTATAAAAGGAGCACTAAACTTGCATTAAAACGGGTTAAATAGGCGGGTGAAAGAACACTGCTTGTTGTAATATTCTTTTTACATGTATAGGTCTAATCAGATGAAAAACAGCAACTCAGAGCATGGACTAGAAAATGCCTGATATAATGCAGCAATCACCACCATCATATGGCCAGTTTGGAATTTACAGATTTCTGGCTTTTGTCCTGGGAAATGTATGGGGTTTCTTGATCTTTTAACTTTGTAAAAAAAAAAAAAAAAAAAAAAAAAAAAAAAAAAAAAACCAGAGCTGTCAGAACTGACATTGTTATGTAGACCTAAACTGGACTGGGGCAGAAAGATAAAGAGCAGTAGCAGGGGTTAAAGACAGTGCTTGCTTTCCCTGGGAAAATTGCTGCTCCAGGTCAATCACAAACAAAAGCCAAGGTCTTTGCCTGTTCTGCATTGGATATTATTATACTACAGGATTTATATATATTATTATTATACAGGATTTATATAGCGCCAACAGTTTGCTCACGCTTTACAATATAAAGGGAGACAATACAGCAACAATACAGTTCAATACAAGAGGGTTAGGAGGGCCTGATCCTGGGAGCTTACAATCTAGGAGGGAGGGGATATAACGTAATAAGCAGATCTTGATGTGATAATTGACTACTGAAGGTGACATTTGTCAATCAAGCTTTGTGTTTAGTCAGCGAACACCTGTTATAACTAACTTTATAGTGTTGGATAGACTTGGCACTAGCCAAAATCCCCGACAACTGTTTTTACACTTAAATAAGACTATGGTTCCCCTTCTCAGGGCGACAGCTCCCTATGGACACTATGGTTCCCCTTCTCAAGGCGACAGCTCCCTATGGACACTATGGTTCCCCTTCTCAAGGCGACAGCTCACTATGGACACTATGGTTCCCCTTCTCAAGGCGACAGCTCACTATGGACACTATGGTTCCCCTTCTCAAGGCGACAGCTCACTATGGACACTATGGTTCCCCTTCACAAGGCGACAGCTCACTATGGACACTATGGTTCCCCTTCACAAGGCGACAGCTCACAATGGACACTACAGTTCCCCTTTTCAAGGTGCCAGATCTCTGTGACCCTTGAGAAAGAAGACCACAGTGTTTCCAAGACATCGGTGGCTTTTAGGTTTTCTTTAGCTCAGGTTATGCGGTCATTATAACCAAGACCTCAGTAAAGATGCAAAGTCCAACTCGGGGTTTGTTGTCTTTTTTTTTTTTCTATTTTAGCATTAAAAACCTGACAGGGGTTCTATTCCTCTCCTACTGCATTCAAAACCAAAAAAAAAAATAATAAAATAAATTCCCTTAGATTTACTTCAACCTTGCATGAAGTACCTGGAGTTTTTTTCAACTCACCTATGGGTTTTGATCCGTGGCTACCTATGAGTAATGCTTTATATATATAAAAAAAAAAAAAAAAAAAAAAAAAAAAAAAAAACTTACAGTGGGGATCGAAAGTTTGGGCACCCCAGCTAAAAATTTGTATTAATGTGCATAAAGAAGCCAAGGAAAGATGGAAAAATCTCCAAAAGGCATCAAATTACAGATTAGCCATTCTTCTAATATGTCAACAAAAGATAGATTTTATTTCCATCATTTACACTTTCAAAATAACAGAAAACAAAAAAAAATTGCGTCTGCAAACGTTTGGGCACCCTGCAGAGTTAATATCTTGTACTGCCCCCTTTGGCAAGTATCACAGCTTGTAAATGCTTTTTGTAGTCAGCCAAGAGTCTTTCAATTCTTGTTTGAGGTATCTTTGCCCATTCTTCCTTACAAAAGTCTTCCAGTTCTTTGAGATTTCTGGGCTGTCTGTCACGCACTGCTCTTTTAAGGTCTATCCATAGATTTTCAATTATGTTGAGGTCAGGAGATTGTGAAGGCCATGGCAAAACCTTCAGTTTACGCCTCTTGATGTAATCCCCCGTGGATTTCGAGGTGTGTTTAGGATCATTATCCATTTGTAGAAGCCATCCTCTCTTTAACTTCAGATTTTTCACAGATGGCATCAAGTTACCATCCAAAATTTGCTGAAATTTTATTGAATCCATTTTTCATTCTACTCGTGAGATGTTCCCTGTGCCAATGGCTGCAACACAACCCCAAAGCATGATTGATCCAACCCCATGCTTAACAGTTGGACAGAGGTTCTTTTCATTAAATTCTGTGCCCCTTCTCCAAACGTACCTTTGCTCATTCCGGCCAAAAGGTTAAATTTTAACCTCATCGGTCCACAGAACTTGTTTCCATAATGCATCAGGCTTGTCTATATGTTCATTTGCAAAGTTCAAACGATGATTTTTGTGGTGAGGACGTAGAAGAGGTTTTCTTCTGATGACTCTTCCATGAAGACCATATTTGTACAAGTATCTCTTTATAGTGGAATAGTGTACCACAACTCCAGTGTCTGCCAGATCTTTCTGGAGGGATCGTGCAGTCAAACGTGGGTTTTGAATTGTTTTTCTCACAATCCTGCGAGCTGTTCTCTCTGATATTTTTCTTGGTCTTCCAGATCTTGCTTTAACTTCCACTGTTCCTGATGACTGCCATTTCTTAATTACATTCCGAACAGAGGATATTGACATCTGAAAACGCTTTGCTATCTTCTTATAGCCTTCTCCAGCTTTGTGAGCGTCAACTATTTTCAGTTTCAGTTTTCTAGACAACTGCTTAGAAGAACCCATGGTGCTGATTGTTGGGGCAAGGTAAGATGAGTCTGGGCATTTAAAACCTTTGAGATTGACATCACCTGGTCTTCCCAGACGATGATTGAGAACAATCCATGACACTGGCAGGTCTCAGCTTGGCAAAGGGGGCAGTGCATGCTATAAATTCTGCAGGGTGCCCAAACTTTTGCAGACGCCATTTTTTTGTTTTCTGTTATTTTGAAAGTGTAAATGATGGAAATAAAATCTAACTTTTGTTGACATATTCTAAGAATGTCTAATCTGTAATTTGATGCCTTTTGGAGATTTTTCCATCTTTCCTTGGCTTCTTTATGCACATTAATACAAATTTTTAGCTGGGGTGCCCAAACTTTCGATCCCCACTGTAGCTCTGCCACCCCTACAGATGAAAACAGCTTTTTTTTTAAATACAAAAAAACTGGTACAATAACACTAGGTCTTGATCATATGAGTTATTCTGAGGGAAAAATTTGGTGTAAGATTACCTGAACTTTACAGAGGTCCAGCCTTAATGTGAAAACACGATGACTTCTAGCATAAGTAGCTGTTGAAATCATTCATTGCAATCAGGTAACTCTTTTCCCCCCTATTTCCTATATAGAATTCATATTTCTACAGTGTTTTTAATTCCATAGAGGACATGTGAATTTTGCATGGGCAATAATAAAAGTATGGTCTATGATGGGGCCCCTGGTCAGATAAAATACTCACCAGCAGTGTGTCCAGTGCATCAATTAAAGTCAAAGAAAAGCTGCAATAAAACAGATTACAATGAATGTCAATGGCATGCAAAGTACATCCAAAAGGCAAGACAGTTAAAAGAGGCCCTATATCCATCACTATGGGATCAAAAAGGCTTGACATCCCATAATAACTGTTAAAATGAACATTTTAGGTGACATTAACCCCTTTTTTTTTTTTTTTTACCAAAATAACAAACATGGTATACTTACCTGCTCTGTACAATGGCATTGCACAGAGCAGCCCAGATCCTCTTCTTCTGAGGTCCCCTGCCAGCACTCCAGGCTCCTCCTCTTCAGCAGGTGCCACCAAGGGAAGACACTTTCCATTGGTGCACCTGTGTGGGTTTCGCTCCTGAGCTGTACTGTCTGCGTCCATTAACATGGACACTATGGTTCCCCTTCTCAAGGGGCAGGTCCCTATGGACACTATGGTTCCCCTTCTCAAGGGGCAGGTCCCTATGGACACTATGGTTCCCCTTCTCAAGGGGCAGGTCCCTATGGGCACTATGGTTCCCCTTCTCAAGGGGCAGGTCCCTATGGGCACTATGGTTCCCCTTCTCAAGGGGCAGGTCCCTATGGGCACTATAGGGGACCTGTCCACCGTGAGAAGGGGAACCATAGTGTCCATGTCGCCTTGGGGGAAACTGTGTCCAAGCTGTCGCCTTGAGAAGGGAAACCATAGTGTCCATGGTGAGCTGTCGCCTTGAGAAGGGAAACCATAGTGTCCATGGTGAGCTGTCGCCTTGAGAAGGGTGAACCAGAAGGGGAACCATAGTGTCCATGGTGAGCTGGCCTTGACCTATCCATGGTGAGTGAGAAGGGGAACCATAGTGTCCATAAGGGACCTGTCACCTTGAGAAGGGGAACCATAGTGTCCATAGGGACCTGTCACCTTGAGAAGTTCCCCTATGGACACTATGGTTCCCCCCTTCTCAAGATGGCAGGTCCCCAAGGACACTATGGTTCCCCTTTTCAAGGTGCCAGATCTCTGTGACCCTTGAGAAAGCAGATCATAGTGTCTCAGACATCGGTGGCTTTTCTCTTTTCTTTAGCTCAGGCTATGCTGTCATTATAACCAAGACCTCTGTAAAGGTCCCCTGCCAGCGCTCGAGGCTCCTCCTCTTTGGCAGGTGCCGCCATGGACAGTCACTTTCCATTGGTGTACCCATGCGGGCTCGCTCCTGAGCCTTGTCTGCGTCCATTCACAGAGAGGGTGGTTTAGCCCCTTTGTGGTGCCATTAAAGTTATAATAATTATACAGGATTTATATAGAGCCAACAGTTTGCTCAGCACTTTACAATATAACGGGAGACAATACAGCAACAATACAGTTCAATACAAGAGGGAAAGGAGGGCCCTGCTCCTGGGAGCTTACAATCTAAAAGGGAGGGGCTGGTGGTACAAAAGGTAACGCTTGGGGATGAACCGATAGGAGAAATTGAAGATTCGGTTATCAGCTGAAGGCAGAATAGGCTCCTGAAGAGAGTAGGTGATAGTCGGATAGATTGGGGTAGAGAGTTCCAGAGGATTGGGGAGGCTCTGGAGAAGTCCTGGAGATGAGCATGGAAGAAGGAAACAAGGGAGCTAGAGAGCAGGTCACACGAGGATCGGAAAGGACGGTTTGGGTGATATTTGGAGACAAGATTGGTGATGTAATTTGGGGCAGAGTTATAAATGGCTTTATATGTTATTATTAATGTTTTGAATTGTATTGCTTGGGTAATGGGAAGCCAGTGGAGGGATTGGCAGAGAGGGATGGAGGATACGGAGAGGAGGCCAGTGGAGGGATTGGCAGAGAGGGATGGAGGATACGGAGAGGAGGCCAGTGGAGGGATTGGCAGAAGGGATGGAGGACACTGAGTGGAGGCCAGTGGAGGGATTGGCAGAGAGGGATGGAGGATACTGAGTGGAGACCAGTGGAGGGATTGGCAGAGAGGGATGGAGGATACTGAGTGGAGGCCAGTGGAGGGATTGGAGAGAGGGGTGGAGGACACTGAATGGAGGCCAGTGGAGGGATTAGCAGAGAGGGATGGAGGACATTGAGTGGAGGCCAGTGGAGGCAGAGAGGGATGGAGGATACTGAGTGGAGGCCAGTGGAGGGATTGGCACAGAGATTAAGGTAGATACAGAACAATTAGTAAGGCGGAAGAGTCTGGCAGCCTTCATGATAGACTGAAGAGGGGATAGCCTCTTTAGTGATACTAAACACACACGGTTTCTGTATGAGGATGATGGCACTAGAATAATGATAATAAAAAAAAAAAAAATCATCCAAGTACCTGTTCCCTAATTGATATAGAGCGGTTACATGACCCAAATCTTTCCCAGCCTGTCTGCAGGGAAACATAGGCAGGAGGAGCTTCTAGCCCTCTGCTGCTTGTCACGTTTATATAAAAAAAAAAAAAAAAAAAAAAAAAGGCCTTCAGGATACCGAGCAAAAATAAATAAGTAACATCAATAAACTAAATAGCCATATGGACTGCGCATAAATCAACAAAGTAAGACAAAATGAGTTTATTGTTTATGCTGAATTTTGCACTATTTATGGCCGGTCCATATGGTTATTTCTTAGTTTGGGTGAATAAGTCCACAATTTAGGACTGCTGCAAATGATTGGAATGATTTGGTACATCCACAATGCATTAGCTCACCTGCCCCAGGTGTCTTGGCCATCACAGGTTAGCGGTCTCAGCTCATCGTATGGAAATGCGTTGTCCAGGTAATTGTTGTAAGCGTGATAGAACATGGACTTCACCCGATCCCTGGAAACAAATGTTCAATCTTAAAGTGATTCTAAAGGTTCATTTTTTTTTTTTTTTGGAAAACAATAAACGTGTCTATACTTACCTGCTGGGTGCAGTGGTTTTGCATAGAGCAGCCTGGTTCCTCTTCTCGGGTCCCCCACAGGCTCTCCTGGCCTCTCCTGCCTGTCAGGTGCCCCCATAGCAAGCAGCTTGCTATGGGGGCACCCGCTGCTTTGTGTGTCCGTTCACACACAGCCGTGGTTTGGCCCAGCCCCCTCTCTCCTCATTGGCTGACTGGTTATGATTGACAGCAGCGGGAGCCATTGGCTGTCTCAGCCAATGAGGAGGCAAAGACCAAGGACAGCCAAGGCTGTGGTATCATGGATCACGATGGGGTTCAGGTAAGTATTGAGGGGGCTGCTGCACACAGGTCTTTTACCTTCATGCATGAAGGAAAAAACCTTGAGCCTTTACAAGTTGGCACTGCTGTATCCTGGCTGTATGTCCTGCGGTCAGCTTGTACAAGAAACTGAGATGTAGATGTATCTCAACGACGGCGGCTACGAGAAATACGCCACAAATGGAGCCAACTAATGTTCACAACCATGTGTAGGTAGATATCTGAGGTGGCACTCGGTCAGTATTCCCTTGGTTAGTGGGTGCATGGGTCTCCCTCACCTGATTAAGTGTCCGGCACATCGTAGCGGTCTGCCCTGCTCTACAAATGGGGTCAGTCCTGGACTCTCCGGCTCAGATTCAGCGTCCCGTCTGGTCTCCTAATGTCAGATTGGCCTGCTGGGCAGCGTGGCAGACTGGGTAGTCAGTAGGCTCCTTTCTCTCCAACCTTGGCTCCGTGGATTAGTTCAGCCGTCAGCACACCTCCTTCTCCTTCAGTCTCTCCCCACACTCTCCCGGGCTTTGATGTTTATATGGCCCCACCCACACGCCACCTCTCTTGGGACATGTAGTCCCTGACTGCTCTGCTCACCAGCATACAAGTTCCAGGGGGCTGTTCTGTCCATGTGAGTGACCCTGAATGGCAGGCCACCGCCACCTAATGACGATTTTAATGTACTGCAAGTAATATTTCAATGGGTTACATATACACTATATTGCCAAAAGTATTGGTCGGCCGGCCTTTCCACAAACAGGACCTTTAATGGCCCCCCAGTCTTAGTCCGTAGGGTTCAATATAGAGTTGGCCCCGCCCTTTGCAGCTATAACAGCTTCAACTCTTCTGGGAAGGCCGTCCACAAGGTTTAGGAGGGTGTCTATGGGAAGGTTGGACCATTCTTCCAGAAGCACATTTGTCAGGTCAGGCACTGATGTCAGAGGAGGAGGCCTGGCTCACAGTCTCCGCTCTAATTCATCCCAAAGGTGTTCTATGGGGTTGAGGTCAGGACTCTGTGCAGGCCAGTCAAGTTCCTCCACCCCAAACTCACTCATCCATGTCTTTATGGACCTTGCTTTGTGCACTGGTGCGCAGTCATGTTGGAACAGGAAGGGGCCATCACCAAACTCTTCCCACAAAGTTGGGAGCATGAAATTGTCCAAAATGTCTTGGTATGCTGACACCTTAAGAGTTTCCTTCACTGGAACTAGGGGCCAAGCTCAACCCCTGAAAACCAACCCACACCATAATTCCCCCTCCACCAAACTACACTTGGCACAATGCAGTCAGGCAAGTACTGTTCTCTTGGTAACCACCAAACCCAGACACGTCCATCGGATTGCCAGAGAAGCGCGATTGGTCACTCCAGAGAACACATCTCCCCTGCTCTAGAGTCCAGTGGTGGCGTGCTTTACACCACGGCATCCGACGCTTTGCATTGCACTTGGTGCTGTAAGGATTGGATGCAGCTGCTCGGCCATGGAAACCCATTCCATGGAGCTCTCTACACACTGTTGTTGGGCTCATCTGAAGGCCACACCAAGTTTGGAGGTCTTTAGCTATTGGCTCTGCAGACAGTTGGCAACTTCTGCGCACTGTGCGCTTCAGCATGCGCTGACCCCGCCCTGTCATGTGACGTGGCCTACCACTTGGGCTGAGTTGCTGTTGTTCCCAGTTGCTTCCACTTTGTTATAATCCCACTAACAGTTGAGCGTGGAATATTTAGTAGCCAGGAAATGTCACGGATGGACTTATTGCACAGGTGACAACCTATCACGGGACCACGCTTGGAGTCACTGAGCTCCTGAGAGCGACCCATTCTTTCACCAATGTTTGTAGAAGCAGTCTGCATGCCTAGGGGATGATTTTATACATCTGCGGCCATGGAGGGGATTGGAACACCTGAATCACATGATTTAGAGGGTGGGGCCAATACTTTTGACAATATAGTGTATATATACATATAGTCTTTTTTCATTGATCGACTCTTGGCATGGTGTGTGTATTTAATTTTATATATATATATATATATATATATATACATACATATACACACACACATACATACATACACATCATGCCAAGAGTCGATCAATGAAAAAAAGACAGATATATATATAAATACATAAAAGAACAATGTTGCTGCCGTGTCCTTGTTAGGAGGAAAGTCCTGTGCGGAGAGCAGGAAGTGGGTAGAAATCTCCCCAACACATCAATGAAATGTTATTAGAGGATAAAATACAAATTCGTAATTAAAAAAATAGAAGAAGCACCTCGTCTACAACAACGAGTGTCTGCCCCCCGCAGCCGGAGGACGCCCCGTGTACAGACGCCCGGTGTCCCGGCACATACCTGTAGTGAGCCATGTCGTGCTCTGTGATCTCTCCGTGCCTGACATTGTGAGCCGGGAAGACGGCGCCGAGCAGCCCCAGGCACACTATATAGCACCCGGCCACCATCACACCCCCCACCCCTCAGCTCCGGCACCTCCACATCCCCGCTGACAGCTGCGACACGCCCACTTCCTACTCTGAGGACAGGCGCCGCCCTGCGATTGGCTGCTGCGGCAGGCTGCTTTGCTCCCGTAACCCGATTGGATAGGAGTGATGACACATCACTCGGCAACGGCAGTCAAGTCTCCATGTTTGTTTCTGGCAAATTTTTTTTATTATTTTTAAATAATCCCTTGCCTACCGGGCACTTATACCCCCTTCCTGTCCAGGCCAATTTTCAGCTTTCAGCGCTGTCGCACTTTGAATGACAATTGCGCGGTCATGCAACACTGTACCCATATGACATTTTTAGCATTTTTTTCACACAAATAGAGCTTTCTTTAGGTGGTATTTAATCGCAGCTGGGTTTTTTTTTTTTTTGCACAGAATAAAAAAAGAGCAAAAAGTTTGAAAATAAAAAAGTTTTTTTTGTTTCTGTTATGAAATTTTGCAGATAATTTTTCCTCCTTCACTGATGTGCATGATGTGCACTGATAGGCAGCATTGATGGGCACTGATAGGCAGCACTGATGGGCACAGATGGCCACTGATAGGCAGCATTGATGAGGTGGCATTGATAAGCAGCACTAATGTGCAGATAGGCAGCACTGATGAGGTGGCACTGATAGGAACTGATGACAGATAGGCAGCACTGATGAGGTGCACTATGGGCAGCACTGATGAGATGAGGCACAGATAGGCAGCACTAATGGGCAAGGTAGGCACTGATGGGCACAGATAGGCAGTACAGATGGGCACAGATAGGCAGCACTGATGAGGTGACTGATGGGCACAGATAGGCAGCACTGATGAGGTGGCACTGACGGGCACAGATAGGCAGCATTGATGGGCACAGATAAGCAGCACGGATGAGGTGGCACTGATAGGGCACTGAAGGGCATTGACTGATGGTACTGCTGGACACTGATAGGTGGCACTGCTGGGCACAGGAGGGGAGAACTGATGGATACAGGTGGGCGGCGCTAATGGGCACTGATCATCAGTGTTGATCCATTCTCTGACAATTGCTGGTTATCGGCAGTACTTTCCTCACGCTGTGACAGTGTAAGGAAAGTACAGTCGATAACCAGCAACTGTATTTACTCAGTGATCTGCTATGTCATTGGACACAGCTGATCACATGGTAAAAGGCCACTGTGATTGGCCATTTACCGTCTCACGCGATCAGCTGTGTACGTAGGAACAGCGATCACTGGCAGTGCCGAGTGAGGGCCTTCCAGAACTGGACAACCATGCTGTAGCCAGCTTTCAGTTATAGCACGGTAGGGAATTGGTTAAAAAGCTGCAACCATGGAAGGGAAGTATCATTCAAAAAAAAAAAATAATGTATTATAGTTTACCATTTTAGTTTGTTTTTGCAAAAAATGCAGCATTTTCTTGTACAGACTTTTCATTTACATGAATGACATCTCTGCTCTATAATAAACACACACTGTAAGGCTGGCCATACACTATACAATTTTCTGCCCAATTTCCTTTAGATCTACCTTCAACTATGTTGTGCAAGGGCCTTTCCAACTGGATACAATTGAAAGTGTTGTTTAGGTTTGACCTCCTATTATGTGTTTTTTTGTCAAACTAATGTAAAATTCTCAAGAAAATTGTATGGCCAGCCTAAAGCTGGATGGAATGCCAAAATAATTTTCTTTCGAAAAATATTTCTAAGCATTTTTGTTCAACCTCATTGATTAGAAATTAGTTTGTTTTTCAAAAAAATTTCCAGCATACCCAATCACTCAAATTTGACGGTCGCTCGGAAATCGTCTGTGGCCCACTAATGATGCCCAGTTTGAAAAAAATTCTTAGAAAAAATGTTTGACAGCGCACTCAATACAGGAGATGACCAGAGACTGCGGATATACTACAGGAGATGACCAGAGACTGCGGACACGGTACAGGAGACGACCAGGGACTGCGGACACGGTACAGGAGACGACCAGGGACTGCGGACATACTACAGGGGACGACCAGAGACTGCGGACATACTATGGAGATGACCAGAGACTATGGACACGCAGGAGATAACCAGAGACTGCGGACACGGTACAGGAGATGACCAGAGACTGCGGACACGGTACAGGAGATGACCAGAGACTGCGACACGGTACAGGAGATGACCAGAGACTGCGGACACGGTACAGGAGATGACCAGAGACTGCGGACACGGTACAGGAGATGACCAGAGACTGCGGACACGGTACAGGAGATGACCAGAGACTGCGGACATACGGTACAGGAGATGACCAGAGACTGCGGACACGGTACAGGAGATGACCAGAGACTGCGGACACGGTCCAGGAGATGACCGAGACTGCGGACACGGTACAGGAGATGACCAAGACTGCGGACATACCAGGAGATTACCAGAGACTGCGGACACGGTACAGGGACGACCAGGACTGCAGACATACTACAGGGGACCCAGAGACTGCGGAAATACTACAGGAGATGACCAGAGACTATGGACACGGTACAGGGATGACCAGAGACTGCGGACACAGTACGGGAAATGACCAGAGACTGCGGACACACTACGGAGAAGACCAGAGACTGGGGACACGGTACGGGAGATGACCAGAGACTGCGGACACGGTACAGGAGATGACCAGAGACTGCGGACACGGTACAGGGGATGACCAGAGACTGCGGACACAGTACCAGGAAAATGACCAGAGACTGCGGACACACTACGGGAGATGACCAGAGACTGCGGACACGGTACAGGGGAGACGGCCAGAGACTGCGGACATGGTACAGGGACGGCCAGAGACTGCGGACACGGTACAGGGATGACCAGAGACTAAGGACTTTTGGGGAGAGCAGGGGGGGCGCAGCTACCCAAATTCGACAGGTACCCGCTCCCAGTTCCGCTGCGATCACCTCTCTTCCCGTAGTCTTCTAGGACATATGACAGGTCACAGAAGATTACAGGGCCATTCACAAAGCGCAGTGCTTCTCGTGCATGCGCAGCGGGCACTCGGCTGTGAAGCCGCAAGCTGTCCTAGCCAGGTGCCCACACTAAGCCTTCATTCACACTGAGCAGGCGAAGAATTTGTAGTGTTTGCTAAGATCAAAATGTCTTTTTCTCAACAATTGTGTTTTTTTCCCCCACCAACTCTTGAAAAACTTGGAGACACTGCAACTGAATGCATAGATCAGGTCCTAATTTACTGAAGGTAAAGTGTATGCAAAGTCTTTTTGTTTCCTTCTTCGATAGAATGGGGAATGGTTAGAAACTCTTGGCAGATATTATTTTGCAGTCCATGCACCGGGGGGGGGGGGGGATTTTGCTTTAATTTTTATCCCAGCAACATAGCAAGAAGACGAAGATCACTCCAAAGCAAAATAATATCCTGTTTGACAGTTGTCACTGAAAACCTGGAGAAGGTTTTGATTTTTTTTTTTTTTTAATCACTTTCTGTACTAAAGGCAGCAGTCCACAGGACAACTCTAGAAGGTAAATCTTTCCAGAGTAGACGCAAACAGCAATAAATCCTGACCAGGGTTCTACCCTTTCAACAAAGCATATACACTCACCGGCCACTTTATTAGGTCCACCTGTTCCATTGTTTGGTAACCAATTGCTAACCAGCCAATCACATGGCAGCAACTCAATGCATTTAGGCATCTAGATGTGGGGGAGACGACATGGTGAAGTTCAAACCGAGCATCAGAATGGGGAAGAAATGGAGTTTAAGTGACTTTGAACGTGGCATGGTTGTTGTTGTGCCAGAGGGGCTGGTCTGAGTATTTCAAAAACACTGCTGATCTGAGATTTTCACACACAATCAGAGAATTGTCTGAAAAAAGAAAATATCCAGTGAGCAGCAGTTGGTTGACGGAAAATGCCTTGTTGACAGAGGAGAATGGAGAGACTGGCTGGAGATCATAGAAAGGATACAATAACTCACAAACCACATGTTACAATCAAGCTATGCAGAATATCTCTGAATGTACAACACCTTGGAGCAGATGGGCTACAGCAGCAGAAGACCACACCCGGTGCCACTCCTGTCAGCTAAGAACAGGAAACAGAGGCTACAAATTCGCACAGGCTCACCAAAATTGTACAACCAAAGATTGGAAAAATATTTCCTGGTCTGAGGAGTCTGGATGTCCCTAGAGATGGTTGTGTGTGAAAATCCCAGTAGATCAGCAGTTTTTGAAATACTCAGACCAGCCCGTCTGCCACCAACAACCATGCCACGTGCAATGTCACTTAAATCCCCTTTCTTCTCCATTCTGATACTCGGTTTGAACTTCAGCAAGTCATCTTTCACCATTGCATTGAGTTGCTGCCATGTGATTGGTTGATTAGCAATTTGTGTTACCAAGCAATTGAACAAGTGGACCTAATAAAGAGGATAGTTAGAGTAAATCCACTCTGTATGCATAATAAAGTGGGAGTGAACATAAATCCACTCTATATGCATTGCAAACCCAGACAGCACCTTGTAAACATAGCAATGACATCATCGCTGTGCTGTACATAGCTGAGAAGACAGCACTGCTGTGGGAAGGACCCAGAAGGTCCCACCCACTAGGAGCTGTCTGCAGAAAACTACAAAAGGGGGCAGAGGCAAGACCCAGTCATACCGCACATAGAAACAGAGCAGCCGCGAGCGGTCTTTATTACAGGAAGCTCCTGCAGAGCAAAAATCTGAACAGTGGGATTACTGCACAGATCTGGAAGAAATACACAAAAAACACCAGAATTCAAGAAAGCGTACACACATCACCTGTTTATAGACAATATTTTGCTGATCCTGGAGTGGAGCTTTAAAACTGAACTATGGAAAACTAAAAAGTCTACCCTTGCAGTGGTGCCACCCCTGCACTGCAGGGATTAACTGCCCATTTAGACTAGAGGGCCCTAAAAGCACTTCTATTTCCCTGATCCTCCACTCCTCCGGCAAACGGCGCCCTCGTTTGCTTAGGCAGTGTCCTTGCGTCCAATGCAGGGCTATGATCCCTGCATTGTCCTCGATAACATCACAGAGCCTCAAACTGCAGGAGAAGACGCTGCAGGGACTGGTCCAGCACTATGGAGTAGCTTGCGAGAGGGGAGAGTCAGGAAAGTACAACTGCTGCACACAATCTAATAATTGTAAGCCCCCCACCCCCTCAAAAGCACAAAAGGAGAAAAAAAAAAAACACTTCAAGAACATACAAAAAACAAAAACCGACAAAATTATAACAATTTGGCCTGCGCCTTATTTACAGTCTGCACAATGTATGGACATTAACAGTATCTTCAATTTTCTGCAACATAGTTAAAATGTTTCCATAACAGAACCTCCCGAGATGAGATTTATCAATGATACAAAAATGAACCCCTGCAGTATATTAGGATTCCATGCCTGACATATTTTTTTTTTTTTTTTTTTTTTTTTTTTTTTTTTTTAGGAGTTTTCAGAATTTTCTGGCCATTGTCCACTAATCTAGGACCTTGATAAAAGTCTGCAGGGGAAGCATGAATCTTCCACATGTACAATACTGTAGGATTCCTTGTGTAGAAGGTAACTTGTCATTATAACATTGCACCAATCGGCTGGCTTGACACCAGAATGACAGTTTATTTTTGTCAGTAGACGTTCCATCCATCACCGCCAGAAAAGGAAATCTTTTGTCATCTTCCCAATCTAGATTGAGCCTGTCAGTCCATTGTCACCTGAACGCTGTCATTCTGATCATGTTTCCGAGCTGCAGGAGGAAAAGAAAAATTTGAAATAAAATCAATGTACAAGGATTGGTTTTAAGAGTCTAAGAGATATTTGAATAACATTAGTATAGGTCAGGGGTAGGGCAACTGTGGCCCTCCAGCTGTTGGTGAAAAAAAAAAATAAAAATGTAAAAAAAAAAAAAGTTTAAAATTATAATTTTTGGTTATAAACTAATTTGGGTTATTTTTTTTTTTACTAAAAAGATAACGGAATAAATTTTGGCCAAGATTTATGATGAAAAAAATTATTTGTTTGCAAAATTTTATAAGAAAAACACTTTTCAAAATTTTTGGACTTCATTTACATAGCAAGAAAAATAAAAATCCCAGCGGTGAATAATTACCAGCAAAATAAAGCTTATTGGTCTCAAAAAAAAAAAACAATGCTAAAAAATTCATATGGGTACAGTGTTGCATGACCGCGCAATTGTCATTCAAAGTGTGATAGCGCTGCAAGCTGAAAATTGGCCTGGGCAGGAAGGGGGGGTGAAGGTGTCCGGACTGGAAGGGGGGGGGGAAATGTCCGGACTGGAAGAGGGGGTGAAATGTATGGAGGGGAAAAAGCCAGCAGTAGAGCCTGGTCACCGCATGGTCATTCTACCGGCTGGCTCTGCCAATCACAGAGTTCTCTTCTGCGTTGAACAGACAGAACTCTGAACAACACTGCAGACTTCACACAGACGCCTGCATTTTATGAATGGGCTTGAACATGCAGGCGGAGGTGTGGAAAAACATTCCAGTATATAGTGGAAAACCCACAGCGATATTGGTTGTGTTATAAATAGTGCTCCTAAATCATTTGTTCACACCTATTTCACTAGAAAGCCCTCATGATATGTAACCTGTTACCCAACATCCAAATACATGGAAATGGTATCCTAAAAAAACTGTGATATCCTTACAAATGTAATACATCTCTAGCTGTTGGCGCAAGCGAATCTTCTTCATATCATCGTAAAAATTAGACTCGGATGCCGTCTCTATGGTCGGTGGCACTGTAAATATCCGCATAATCTTCCTCTTGTTCCTGAAATAGAAGATAGATCTTAAATGAAATGCAGAGCCCTTCCCACACGTTTCAGACACAGGTGTCAAAAGGACCAGTTTAAATCAGAAGCAAACATTATCTTGGCGCTCGGCAATTCTTAGATGTGATGGCTGCATTTCTGTTTGGCTGCTTTCTTTCTTCTATTTTCATCTGGTGATCTGGCCAGGTAGTTCGTTTTTCAAAAGGACAAGCTCTCCAGCAGAATGTATCAGTTTACATAGAGGAGACAAGCCATTTAACACTGTGGCAGGGTGCTTAACCGCTACTGTGCCGCCCTATAGCAGGAATACTGCTACAGGGCGGCACGGGTGTGCAAAATCACTAATATATATACACACACACATATATATATATATACACATACACACACATATATATAATATATATATATATATATATATTATACACACACACATACACATATATACAGTGGGGATCGAAAGTTTGGGCACCCCAGCTACAAATTTGTATTAATGTGCATAAAAAAGCCAAGGAAAGATGAAAAAATCTCCAAGAGGCATCAAATTACAGATTAGACATTCTTATAATATATCAACAAAAGTTAGATTTTATTTCCATCATTTACACTTTCAAAATAACAGAAAACTAAAAAATGGCGTCTGCAAAAGTTTGGGCACCCTGCAGAATTTATAGCATGCACTGCCCCCTTTGCAAAGCTGAGACCTGCCAGTGTCATAGATTGTTCTCAATCATCGCCTGGGAAGACCAGGTGATATCAATCTCAAAGGTTTTAAATGCCCAGACTCATCTGACCTTGCCCCAACAATCAGCACCATGGGTTCTTCTAAGCAGTTGTCTAGAAAACTGAAACTGAAAATAGTTGACGCTCACAAAGCTGGAGAAGGCTATAAGAAGATAGCAAAGCGTTTTCAGATGTCAATATCCTCTGTTTGGAATGTAATTAAGAAATGGCAGTCATCAGGAACAGTGGAAGTTAAAGCAAGATCTGGAAGACCAAGAAAAATATCAGAGAGAACAGCTCGCAGGATTGTGAGAAAAACAATTCAAAACCCACATTTGACTGCACGATCCCTCCAGAAAGATCTGGCAGACACTGGAGTTGTGGTACACTATTCCACTATAAAGAGATACTTGTACGAATATGGTCTTCATGGAAGAGTCATCAGAAGAAAACCTCTTCTACATCCTCACCACAAAAATCATTGTTTGAACTTTGCAAATGAACATATAGACAAGCCTGATGCATTATGGAAACAAGTTCTGTGGACCGATGAGGTTAAAATTGAACTTTTTGGCTGGAATGAGCAAAGGTACGTTTGGAGAAGAAGGGGCACAGAATTTAATGAAAAAGAACCTCTGTCCAACTGTTAAGCATGGGGTTGGATCAATCATGCTTTGGGGTTGTGTTGCAGCCAGTGGCACAGGGAACATCTCACGAGTAGAAAGAAAAATGTATTCAATAAAATTTCAGCAAATTTTGGATGGTAACTTGATACCATCTGTGAAAAAGCTGAAGTTAAAGAGAGGATGGCTTCTACAAATGGCTAATGATCCTAAACACACCTCGAAATCCACGGGGGATTACATCAAGAGGCGTAAACTGAAGGTTTTGCCATGGCCTTCACAATCTCCTGACCTCAACATAATTGAAAATCTATGGATAGACCTTAAAAGAGCAGTGCGTGACAGACAGCCCAGAAATTTCAAAGAACTGGAAGACTTTTGTAAGGAAGAATGGGCAAAGATACCTCAAACAAGAATTGAAAGACTCTTGGCTGGCTACAAAAAGCGTTTACAAGCTGTGATACTTGCCAAAGGGGGCAGTACAAGATATTAACTCTGCAGGGTGCCCAAACTTTTGCAGACACCATTTTTTTGTTTTCTGTTATTTTGAAAGTGTAAATGATGGAAATAAAATCTAACTTTTGTTGACATATAAGAATGTCGAATCTGTAATTTGATGCCTTTTGGAGATTTTTCCATCTTTCCTTGGCTTCTTTATGCACATTAATACAAATTTTTAGCTGGGGTGCCCAAACTTTCGATCCCCACTGTATATACACATACACATATATATATACACACACACACACATACATATATATATATATACATACATACACATATACATACATACATATACATATATACACACACACACACACACACACACACACACACACACACACATATACACACACACACAGGCGATTTTTCAGTTCCAGGTAGGGGACACACGCGCCCTACCCGCGCCGCCATTTGCGGCCTTGGCTGTCAATCACCGGGTCCTGGCCGGCACACATTTGGGGGGGGGTAGAAGAGCAGGTACCTAGTTTTGGCAAGTACCCACCCCACTTCCTTATTTGCACCCCCCTCCCCTACCCCAGCACTGTGCTACACTTCCAAGGTCCCAGAGGACTGCGGCCCTTTCACAAAAGCACTCGTGCATGCGCAGTGGGGAACCAGCAGTGAAGGGGGTGGGGGGTAGAGCAGGTACCTAGTTTTGACAGGTACCCACCCCACTTTCTTAGTTGTGCCCCTCCCCCCACCCGCAACACTGTGCTACACTTCCAAGGTCCCACAGTACTGTGGCCCATTCACAAAAGCACTCGTGCATGTGAAATGGGGAACCAGCAGTGAAGGGGGTGGGGGGGGAAGAGCAGGTTCCTAGTTTTGATGGGTACCCACCCCACTTCCTTAGTTGCATCCCCCGCAGCATTCTGCTACACTTCCAAGGTTCCAGAGGACTGCGGCTCATTCACAAAAGCACTCATGCATGTGAAGTGGGGAACAGCAGTGAAGGGGAGGTGGGGGGAAGAGCAGGTACCTAGTTTTGACAGGTGCCCACCCCACTTCCTTAGTTGCGCACCCCCTCCGCAGCACCGTGCTACACTTCCAAGGTCCCAGAGGACTGCGGCCCATTCACAAAAGCACTTGTGAACTCGCAGTGGGGAACCAGCAGTGAAGCACTGCAAGTTTCCCTTAGTCAAGGTGGTGGCGCCAGCACCTGACAGCCGCTGGATACCTGGACAGGTAAGCGCCCTAATATTAAAAGTCAGCAGTTACAGTATCTGCTGACTATTTTTTTTTTGAGGGGGTGGGGGGAGGGGCAGAACTCCTCTTTAAATCTTAAATGAGAGGTATAGGATTCTAAAGACAAACATACATATTCCCCTCCATGCTGCAGCGTCTGTTTGAGGCTGCAGCTGTCCCCCACCGGCTCAAAGCCCAAGAACTGAGCAATCACATTTATTTCAGGTACTTCTATAGCGCCGTCAATTTACGCAGCGCTTTACATATATATTGTACATTCACATCAGTCCCTAACCCTCAAGGGGCGTCCAATCGAAGGTTGATTGTTCAGTCAGCTCTAGGCAGTGAGCAATGACTGTCAGTCACCGCTCTCCACTCTGCCCCTCCACTGCTCACTGGACAGCTGGGCTGGTAATAAGGTAGATGCAGCTGGCTTTGGATCTCAGCTGTGTGCTGAGAGCTGGAACCAACTGTTAATCAGGCAGCTGGGTGGATCCTGACAATATGGTCGGGATTCTTCCAGATCCTGGAATGGCTCTGTGATGTCAGCCGACACCAAGAAAAAGAAGAAGTACGAACAGAAAAGCTTTGGCCGCACTTCTCTTTAAACCAAAATGTTACGTTTAGGCCGGCCATACACGGGTCGAAATTCAACTGATTTTTCATCCAAAAATCGGACCTAAGAATAATCAGCCGATTTTCCCTCTGTTAGTGGGTCAATGGCACCGGACAATTTTCGCGGTTCCTCCCCTTTTCGGTAATTGGGCATGTTTGAAAATTAGTGAAAAACGACAGATTTTTGACTCAACGATGGTCAAGTCGTACGATCGTTGTTCCGAAAAGAACACGCGCATGAGCCGTGACCTGGAAGGAACAGAAGTTTCGCCTGTTATATGAACTTTATGACTCGGTCGGCCGATTTTCGAAAATCACTGATGACGCCGTCGGATTACAGAGCGAACGTCGTTTTCGATTCTTGGACGAAAAATCATTCGGAATTCGACCCATGTAAGGCCTGCATTAGAGATGCAATAGGAGAAACCAATAAAAAGATCCACAAGAAGGCCGACAACTCACTTCCTAGCGTACATGAAGAGGCCGAAGCTCACAAGGATCACTATCAGGTAGACGTTGGTGGCTTCATTCCAGGCTTCGTGTACGGAGTAGTCAATGGTGCCGTCATCTCCATCACCCCATATCCTCCAGCCATAGCCCCTGGGGGGGGGGGGGGGGGGGGGGGGGGGGGGGGGGGGGGGGGGGAGCGAAATGCAAAAATTAAACAGTTAATAAAGCAAACCTGTACCAAAAGAAATGTAGCCGATTTCCTAAAAATGCTAGTTGCCTGGCTTCTCTGGCTCACTGACCTGGAACAGGAATTCAACTACAAAAGGGAAGATCTTTTTATTGGTACACTTGTTCAAGTCGTGACTTAAAAGTCAAGAAACTCTGGAAACTGCTGTGCCCAAAAGAAAAAGCAGGCAGAGGGCAAAGGACCACTCACCAGTACTGCCTCTCATCTCCCTACATCTGATCTGTACCAGGGTGGATAAAAATCAATGATTTTTTTTTTTTTTAAAATCAAAAAAAAAAAAAAAAAAATCAGATTTTTTTTATTTAAATCTGATTTTTTTTTATTTAAATCAGATTTTTTTTTATTTATTTAAATTGGATTTTTTAAATTTAAAATCAGATTTTTTTTTTATTTAAATCAGATTTTTTTTTATTTAAATCAGATTTTTTTTATTTAAATCAGATTTTTTTATTTAAATCAGATTTTTTTTTATTTAAATCGGATTTTTTTTTTTTAAATAAAATGCTTTTTGAGGAAAATATTACCATCCAAAGGTTATTACATCATAAAATAAAGATTAGTTGTTTAATTATGTAGAATAAGGCTGTATATGTTTAATTTTTTTGGTAAATAAATTCCATGAATCCATTCACAATGTCAATGTCAAGCAAATCACATATGCTGGAATGTTATTGTTTCAGTTGAATAAATCTATTTAAATTGTTATTATTAAGGTAATGATTATTTTTCTCCTTCCTAAGTACAACAGAAAAGTTGTCCAAATATGAATGATTAACCTATTAAACTGGGGATAAAAAAACTAATATGAAAAGTTGTTGTTCTAAAAATCTTCATCTACTTGTATATTAAAGTTATACCAGCAAGAATTAGTCTTTATGTAGAAAACTAGGATTTACATCAAGCCTTACTGACTAGTGATTGAAATCGTAAATAAAATCCACCCTGGTCTGTACCATGCCTCATTCTGCAATGTGTCTGTGTGGTGGCGGCCATCTTGGTATAGGCAGCTTTGCCTCCTGGTGTCAAAGCCTCCAGCAAGGAGAACGGTGAGCAGCGCAGTACCGACATCACCAAATCTCACTACAGATCTCCGGAGATTAGCAATCAGAGGCAGCAGTGCCTTGGAGCTCACCCTGCAGATATACAGCCATGATACTGAAGGCACAGGAGTGCCTAGGCACCCTCACTGGTACAGCTTCCTCTCCAGCACGGAGAACAGTGAGCAGCGCAGTACTGACATCACCAAATCTCACTACAGATGAGATCATTAGCTCCCCCCAATGTACATGAATACAGCTCCCTATTATATTCGCTCCCCCCCCCCCAATGTATATGAATACATCTCCCCGTTATATTAGCTCCCCCCCCCAATGTACATGAATACAGCTCCCTATTATATTAGCCCCCCCCAATGTACATGAATACATCTCCCCGTTATTATATTAGCCCCCCCCCCAATGTACATGAATACATCTCCCCGTTTATTATATTAGCCCCCCCCCAATGTACATGAATACATCTCCCCGTTATTATATTAGCCCCCCCCCCAATGTACATGAATACATCTCCCCGTTATTATATTAGCTCCCCCCCAATGTACATGAATACATCTCCCCGTTATTATATTAGCTCCCCCCCAATGTACATGAATACATCTTCCCGTTATTATATTAGCCCCCCCCAATGTACATGAATACATCTCCCCGTTATTATATTAGCTCCCCCCCAATGTACATGAATACATCTCCCCGTTATTATATTAGCTCCCCCCCCAATGTACATGAATACATCTCCCCGTTATTATATTAGCTCCCCCCCCAATGTACATGAATACATCTCCCCGTTATTATATTAGCTCCCCCCAATGTACATGAATACATCTCCCCGTTATTATATTAGCTCCCCCCCAATGTACATGAATACATCTCCCCGTTATTATATTAGCTCCCCCCCAATGTACATGAATACATCTCCCCGTTTATTATATTAGCCCCCCCCATGTACATGAATACATCTCCCCGTTATTATATTAGCTCCCCCCCCAATGTACATGAATACATCTTCCCGTTATTATATTAGCTCCCCCCCAATGTACATGAATACATCTCCCCGTTATTATATTAGCTCCCCCCAATGTACATGAATACATCTCCCCCGTTATTTATATTAGCTCCCCCCAATGTACATGAATACATCTCCCCGTTATTATATTAGCTCCCCCCCCAATGTACATGAATACATCTCCCCGTTATTATATTAGCTCCCCCCCCCCCAATGTACATGAATACATCTCCCCGTTATTATATTAGCTCCCCCCAATGTACATGAATACATCTCCCCGTTATTATATTAGCTCCCCCCCCCAATGTACATGAATACATCTCCCCGTTATCATATTAGCTCCTCCCCCAATGTACATGAATACATCTCCCCGTTATTATATTAGCTCCCCCCAATGTACATGAATACATCTCCCCGTTATTATATTAGCTCCCCCCCCAATGTACATGAATACATCTCCCCGTTATTATATTAGCTCCCCCCAATGTACATGAATACATCTCCCCGTTATTATATTAGCTCCCCCCAATGTACATGAATACATCTCCCCGTTATTATATTAGCTCCCCCCAATGTACATGAATACATCTCCCCGTTATTATATTAGCTCCCCCCAATGTACATGAATACATCTCCCCGTTATTATATTAGCTCCCCCCTCCCGTCACAGGATGTCCGCTCCCGGCGCCCCTCACCTGCAGCTCTGCGCGGCACAATCCCGGATATACAGATTCACATCACGTGACCTCAGGCGCCGCTTGCAGAAGAGAGCCGCTCTGCTATTGGCCGCAGCTGTGAGCGCTGTGATTGGTCAGGCATTTAAATGTCCAGAAGGCTCTGCTGCATGTTGTCATCGTCTCTGCACAATCACAGGGTGTATTCGGGGGCGGGGCTGCTGTGCTCAGCAATGTGCTGTTCCTCAGAGTCTTTATACTGGGAACCTATGGGGTATAAAATGCTGACAGGGAGCGCTGAACGCTGCAGATACAGGGAGGCCAGGCGGCACTCTGGAGGGACAGAAAATGGTGGGCAGCTGGGAGTCCTGGTGGGGGTGGCATTCCATGGGGGTGGAGCTGAGAGTCCTGGTGGGAGAGGCATTACATGGATGGTGGGTGGAGCTAGAAGTCCTGGTGGGACGGGTGCTCCATGGAAGGTAGAGTTGGGAGTCAGTTGATGATCAGTGTCCATCAGTGCCACCCAGCAGTGCCACCCATCAGTGCAGCAGCATCAGTGCTACCTATCAGTGCTGCCTATCCATGCCATCTCATCAGTGCCTATCAGTGCAGCCTCATCAAGGTACATCAGTGAAGGAGAAAAATTACCTGTTTGCAAAATTTTATAATAGAAACAAAGAAAAATTGTTCAAATTATTTGCTCTTTTTTTTGTTATAGTGCAAAAAATAAAACTCCCAGCGGTGATTAAATATCACCAAAAGAAAGTTCTATTTGTGTGAAAAAAATGATAAAAATTTCATATGGGTTCAGCATTGCTTGACCGCGCAATTGTCATTCAAAATGCAACAGTGCTGAAAGCTGAAAATTGTCCTGGGCACGAAGGGGGTATAAGTGTCCGGTAGGCAAGTGGGTAAAAGACAAGTTTATTAAAAATAGCCAAATAACTACTCATAATTGGGGTAAGTATATGGGCATTTATAAAGCCACAGGACACCAGACTCATCCTCGCGTTCCCATTGGACATCGCTGAGTATCACTGACAGTGGAGAGGTCTGTATGTAACCAATACAGATCTCTCCTCTGTCAGCTCCAGCGCACTGCTTTGTATGGCTCTGCATAACATAAATGTAATTTCGGTGCAGCGTTGCAATGCTGCGCAATGTTTAGTTAAATTAACTCAGTGCTGTATCGCAAAAAACAGCCTGGTCGGGGGGGGGGGGGGGGGGGGGTGGGGGGGGGGGGGGGGGTGAGGATTCTCTGGAGGGCAAGTGGTAAAGCCTCTCATGACACAAATCACAAATAGGGTACCATGCCATGACCCTATCCAATCAGGACATAGTGGCGGGTTTAGAAGCAAAATCAAGGAAGCTGAAATACAGTATCTCCCAGAAGTGAGTCCACCCCTTACATTTTTGTAAATATTTGATTCTCTCTTTTCATGTGACAACACTGAAGAAATGACACTGTGCTACAATGTGATGTAGTCAGTGTACAGCTTGTATAACATGTAAATTTGCTGTCCCCTCAAAATAACTCAACACACCACCATTAATGACTAAACCACTGGAAACAAAAGTGAGTCCACCCCTAAGTGACAAGGTCCAAATTGGGCCCAAAGTGTCAATATTTTGTCTGGCTGCCATTATTTTCCAGCACTGCCTAACCCTCTTGGGCATGTAGGTCACCGGAACTTCACAGGTTGCCCCTGGAGTCCTCTTCACACATGACGACATCACGGAGCTGGTGGATGATAGAGACCTTGCGCTCCTCCACCTTCCATTTGAGGAAGCCCTACAGATGCTGAATAGGGCTTGGGTCTGGAGACATGCTTGGCCAGTCCATCACCTTTACCCTCAGCTTCTTTAGCAAGGCCGTCTTGGAGGTGTGTTTGGGGTCATTATCATGTTGGAATACTGCCCTGCGGCCCAGTCCCCGAAGGGAGGGGATCATGCTCTGCTTCAGTATGTCACAGTATATGTTGGCATTCATGGTTCCCTCAATGAACTGTAGCTCCCCAGTCCGGCAGCACTCATGCAGCCCCAGACCATGACACTCCCACCACCATGCTTGACTGTAGGCAAGACACACTTGTCTCTGTACTCCTCACCTGGTTGCCGCCACACACGGTTGACACCATCTGAACCAAATCAGTTGATCTTGGTGTCAACAGGATATGGTTCCAGTAATCCATGTTTTTAGTCTGCTTGTCTTCAGCAAACTGTTTGCGGGATTTCTTGTGCATCATCTTTAGAAGAGGCTTCCTTCTGGGACGACAGCCATGAAGACCAATTTGATGCAGTGTGTGGCGTATGGTCTGAGCACTGATAGGCTGACCCTATGCTGGCAGCACTCATAGGTCTATTTCCCAAAGACAACCTCTGGATATGACGCTGAGCATGTGCACTCAACTTCTTTGGCTGACCATGGCGAGGCCTGCTCTGAATGGAACCTGTCCTGTTAAACCGCTGTATGGTCTTGACCACCGTGCTGCAGCTCAGTTTCAGGGTCTTGGCAATCTTCTTATAGCCTAGGCCATTTTTATGTAGAGCAATAATTCTCTTTTTCAGATCCTCAGAGAGTTCTTTGCCATGAGGTGCCATGTTGAACTTCCAGTGACCAGTATGAGAAGGTGAGAACGATAACACCAAATTTAACACACCTGCTCCCCATTCACACCTGAGACCTTGTACCACTAAGGAGTCACATGACACCGGGGAGGGAAAATGGCTAATTTGACTCAATTTGGACATTGTCACTTAGGGGTGTACACACTTTTGTTGCCAGCGGTTTAGACATTAATGGCTGTGTGTTGAGATACTGTATGTCACTGTCAGGATCCAGTATTACAATGGGGAGTTCTGTTGGTCACATATTGTTCTCTTAGTGTTTCTTATCATATTTCTTTCTTCTTTACAGCTCCTATGGGGAGACCAGGAAACATGGACATACTTGGTACGTGACATCAGGAAGCACCCATTTTTTGAGATGATTGACTGGGCCAAGGTGGAACAAGGAAAGCACTCCCAGCAGTTACACCACAGCCGGTAAGTATATGAACAACCAGGAATGGGGGAGGGGAGATTTTTTAGCAGCGACTAAGATGTAATTTTGTGCAGAATTCTTCAAGTTTGTGATCTTGTGGTCACTGCACAATTACATGGTCTGGGGACTCATCCAAATGAATTCTGTTTATTATTGGGGATAATTAATATCAATGTGTAAGGCTCACAGCTTAGACCTCTATTATTTACCTTGGTGACCCTGCCTTTAACACACTTCCTGTCCTGGGGTGACAACACTGACTTATTGTACCTATGGAAAAGAAGTGTTGTCACCCTAGCCTGATTAGAACTACAAACGCCTTCATCTCTCCTTATCTCCATTACACAGAGTGGATTGCTTAGTTCACAGACAGAAGCTGAGAAAGACAGTATTACTTAGATCTCAGCTCAGGGCACAGGAACGTCACTGGATTTCTAACAGGAATAAAAGGCATTTTTCT